AGAGAATGTAAAATGACAGGATCAAAGTCAACATAAAAAAATCTATAGCATTTTTATACATCAACAGTAAACAGACAGAATGCCCTAGAACTGAGGAAAGCAATTCCATTGACAATAACCACAAAGAAAAAATAATGAGATACCTAGGAATAAACCTAACCAAATAAGTCAAAGACCTCTACAAGGGAAACTATGAAAAACTTAAAATATGGGGCCAGCAGATGGTGTGGTGGTTAAGGGCACTGGATTCCCACATGGCTTACCGCAGCTTGAGTCCTGGACCCATTGACTTGTTTTCTTACTTTTCCTCTCTCTCTCTGCTTAAATTAAAACAACAACAACAACAACAATAATAATAATAAAAATGAATAATGTTAAAAGAAAAAATTGTAATAATAAAAAAATGAAACTGAGAAGGATACAAGTAAGTGGAAGAACATCCCATATTCCTGGACCGAAGGAATTACCACATCAACTCTGAGCCAGCACAGAGGTTATGTTGCTGAACTCCCACGTGGCTGCCTAAGGTTGAAGTCCCTGGTGGTTTGAAACTCATGCCAGGTGCATGTGCACGCATGCCCAACAACCTGGGAGGAGATGAGAAGAGAAGGGATTGCGGCATGGCCATCCCCTTCGGGTGGGGGAGTGATTTCTCACTTTCTCTGTCACTGTCTCTGTCTCTCTCTTTCTCTCTGTCCAGCAAGTGCACACACCACAAGGCAAAAATCTCTTTAAAAAAGAGTGAATTATACCCAAATTAATTTATAAATGTAATGCAATCCCAATCGAATTACCGGAGACATTTTTTAAAATTTTTATTTATTTACTTATTTTAATTTGACTAGAGAGGGTCAGAGTGAAAGAGAGTGTGAGAGAGAAAAAGTGAGAAACCAAGCTGCCAGGTCCAGGACTCGAACCATAGTCAGCCATGTGGGAGTCCAGCACCCTTAACCACCATGCCAACTGCCAGCACCCCCAGAGACATTTTTAGGGAAAAACAAAAAAGACACATAGAATTTGTCTGGAATCATAAAACACCTCATACTGCCAAAGCAATAGTGTACAAGAACAGTGGAGTAGACATTTCACTCCCTGACCCCAAATATATTATGAATCTGTGATAATCAAGACAGTATGCTATTGGCACGAAAACAGGCATGTAGGGAGCCAGCAGTTACCGTAATGACTATGTCGCTGGACTCCCACGTTGTCGACCACGGTTCAAATCCCAGACCCAGTGGCTTAAAACTCACGCCAGGCGCATGTGCGTGCGTGCCCAAGAGCCCGAGAGGAGAATGGAGGAGAAGGGATTGCGGCATGACCATCCCCCTGGGGGGTGATTTCTCGCTTTCTGTCTCTATGTCTCTCTCTGTCGGGGGAGCACACGCGCCCTATAGCAAAAACCTCTCAAAAAAAAAAAAAAAACAAGCATGTAGACCAATAGAACAGAATAGAGACCCCAGAAATAACTCCCAAAACATATAGCCAACAGATTTTTGACAAAGGACACACCAGACAATCCAGTGCAAAAAAGAAAATCTCTTCAGCAAATGGTCCTGGAAAATGTGGATATCCACCTGCAGAACAATGAAACTGCACCCCTACCTCTCACCACTAACAAAAATCCATTTAAAATAGAGCAAAGATCTAAACCTAAGACCTTAAACTAGAAAACTACTGGTGGATAATACAAAGGAAACTCTTGGAGTCATCAGAGTAGGCAAAGACTTCTTAAATAAGATCCCCAAAGCACAGGCAATAATGCCCAAAATACACAAGTGGGATTACATCAGGTTAAAAAGTTTCTGCACAGGAAAAGAAGCAATAATTCAGGAATAAGCAACCCTCAGAATGAAAGAATATATTTGCAAACTATGCCCCAGATCAGGAACTGATGACCAGATTACACAGAGAACTCAAGCAGCTAACCTGGAGGGGGAAAAATAAAAAAAGACAAATGAGCTGAACAGACAACTCTCTAAGGACGACATGCAAACAGTCAGAAAGCATATGAAAAAATGCTCAACATCCCTTATCATAAGGGAGATGCACATCAAAACCATAATGAGGTACCACCTAACCCCAGTCAGACGGGCTACGATTTAAAAACTGAACAATGAGAAGTGCTGGAGGGGCTGTGGCAAAAGGGAACTTTCTTACACTGTTGGGAATGTAAATTGGTCCAGCCACTGTGGAGAACAATATGGAGGTTCCTCAAAGAACAACAAATAGAACTACCACAAGATCCAGCAATTCCACTTCTGGGTATCTACCCAAAGGACAGGAATGCACTCAGTCAGAAAAACACGTACACATCACTGTTTATTGTGGCATTATTCATAACTGCTAAGACAGGGAACCAGCCCAAATGTCCACAAACGAATGAATGGGTTGAAAAAGTGTGGCACGTATACGCTGTGGGATACTACTCAGCCATAAAAAAAGAGACCCTGGCATTTGATAGAAAGTGGGCAAATATAGAAGATTTACTGCTAAGTGAAGCAAACCAGACTATGAAAGAGAGGCATTGTATGTCCCCACTCAATGTACACTGAATGTCTGTGCTCTACCGCAGAGACTGAAAGACTGGAAGATATAAAAGTGCAGAGAGCAACTGTGGATACCAGAGACAGTGTGGGAGGTGGGAAGGAAATGGGGAAGGTGAGAGGGAAAGAATCAAGGGAAAATATACTCATTGAAATGTCACGTACTATCTGATTGGCTTGTAGAACTGTTATAGACTGCCATGCATTAGCACAGATTTTAATTGTCATGGTTGCAGACTACAGACCTGCTTTTTGAACTGGAATTTAAATATTAAAAAATGGAACTGGGAAAAGAAAAAAAAAAAAAGAAAAGAAAGAAGCAAAACATTTAAGGAACACCAAAATGAAAAATGATCTGTTGATAATGGGTCTGGTAAAGCACTGGACTCCCTCATGGCCAACCACGTTTGAGTCCTGCACCTGGTGGCTTAAAACTCATGCTGAGCAGATGTAGGTTTGTGCCCCAAATCCTGAAAGGAGAATGGAGAGGAAGGAATTGCGGCGCGGTCACTCCCACCCCTCATCCCCGCAAAAGAATTTCTCACTTTCCCACTGTCTTTCTCTGGCAAGTATGCACACCCTGTGGTGAAAACCTACATAAACTAATAATAAGAATAATAAAGTATCTTACCTGAAGTTACCTGTGTAGTAAATGGAAGAGTAAGACCCTACACCCAGACCTTCTAGTGGCAAGCTCTGTGCTCTTCCTTCCATGTCGCTGGCCTGCCACTATTAGGCTATGACTAAAGAATAAAGGCCCAGTATAATGTAACTAACTTACTTTACAACGTCCCTTTCCGTTTTTTTTTCAAAAATCCTGAATTCTTATTTTAGAGTCCAAATCTTTGGCTATATGACAACTCAGGCTGTCTGTTTAGAAATACAACCTAGTTTAACTAACCCTTTGCAGCTCCACCTTCAGTTTAAGGGTTGGGCTGAGGAACAATTTGCCGCTGCTCTCTTCCACAGCCTGCTGCTAAAGTAATTATTCAAAAAGTCCAACTCTCTTGTCTTTGGAAATCTTTATTTGCCACATGGCAAGTGTGCTCACCAGAGAGAGAGACAGAGAGACAGTGAGAGAGGGAGTGAGAAATCACCCCCTAGGGGATGGCCACTCCACAATCCCTTCTCCTCCACTCCAGCCACCCTTGCGTTCCCAGGGAATTACAATGTGTCTGTGGCCTAGGGAGCAGGCCTTCAATGCTTTTCATAAACTACCCCACCGATGCATATTAACAGCAGTAACTAGCAGAATGGCTGCGGTGGTCAATCTGCAGATTTGCATACAACAGACCACTCTCTCATTGTCTTAGCGATAACCTCAATTACGGAAGTACGGAGTCGAAATCGCTCTTGTAAATCAGGCTAGTTTCATTTCGACTCCCTTTTCTTGCGCAATGGCCTCACCCACCAATGAAGGAGAGCAGGATCACCAGGAGGACGATGAGGGCACAGATGCAGGGGATCAGGACCAGCAGCAGGAGGCGGAGGAGAGGGGCTGTCGCCAGGTCCCGAGTGCAGCCATCACCCAGCTCACTGTCGCCAGCTCCCAGAACCTGCAGAAAGACAGGGAAATGAAGCACGGCTTTGCCATCACACAGCAGCCCAATGCCTGGTACGAGATTGCGGGTCCCTGCTGCCCGCGCAGGACAGCAGCATTGCCGGGAGACCTGAGCTACAGCCGGGCGTGGACAGAGGTGGTCCACAAACCACGCTAACAGAGGAGTGGACGCGGCTGCGTTCAGGGACCAGCAAGTCATCTGCTTTTAAGGAGTACACGAGCTTGTGATACTATTCCAGCCTGTTGTTTTTATTTTCTTTTAGACGTTTTTGCCATAAGGTGCATGTGCTCATGGGAGAGACAGAGAGACAGAAAGCAAGAAATCACCCCCCAGGGGGAATGGTCACATCACAGTCCCTTCTCCTCCATTCTACACTCGGGATCTTGGGCACGCACGCATATGTGCCCTGCATGTGTTTCAAGCCACTGGGTCTGAGACTCGAACCATGGTCGGCCACGTGGGAGTTCAGCAACATAACCACTATGCTACCTGCTGCGCTCCTATCTTGATTTTTTAAATATATATATAAAAAGAAAAAAACTGCTATAGGGGCGTGCACTTACCAGAAAGACAGAGGGA